AGTCCACAAGTCTTAAAGCTGTCAAGTTTTGAACACCCCTGGGTTTTTTTTCTGAAGGGTTGGGGGGTGCAAGTGTCTTGTAACTTGACAGTTTTAAGACTTGCTTGTTTGCTTCAAATACCAGTTTCTGAGCCAACATTTTGGTTGCTAAGCAAGAGCATTGTTAAGTGAGTTTCGCCACATTTTACAAGTTGGCCATTCCTACCCAGTCACATGGCCAGCAAGCCACTCCCACAAAGCAGACCACACCTACAGAAGAGGTTCTAAAAAAATTTGAAACCCACCACTGCCCTATACATACCTTTTGGCTTCTTTTTTTCCAGAGGATTACTTGATCAGATCAAACTTATAAAACTCTGATTCCCAAATGAAAACAATATGAATTGGATCTCACCCTAACACCATGGAAATACATTAATCAAAAAGTGACCAAATAATTTCAATTATATATGATGAAATTAACTATTCTGATGAAGAAAGTAAAAATCACATTGAAAACTTGTGAAGCAACAGGATTTTTCATGAAGAATCTCTTTTAATTAATACTAATGGTTAACCCTCTGGTTTTATTAATTTTCAATTTTACTGATGATTCCCACTACTCTTACAAAACAATTCTTTTTTGTACTATTAAAATTTGAATTGATTATATCAAATAATCCTGTTTTCTTCAGTTACTTTTATTTAAATTTATCACTTTACAAAGAGTAATCCACCTTTTAACAGAGACAGTTCTGTCCTTTAGCTCAAATAACTTTTCTTATAAGTTCTACTCATAATAGAAAAAATATTAATTTTATTTACATGTGTGTGATTTTAAAGCAGTCAACAATGCATCTCCTCTCTAAAAGGACAAAAATTCCAATTTTTGCATTTACAAATATATATTTCAGTATATGGAAATAGCAAGTCAGCTGTCAGTCTTAACTGAACCAGCTTTATCCGGAATCCTGTTTGTCCCAGAATGGGACTACTATGTCATAATCTGTGGGTGCATAAGTTAGAACTATGGAAAGTGTGTTTAACTATCTTTTCCCAAATGCAGGAAATACAATTGGGCAGCTATTTCTGCCATCAATTTAATCAGCAGCAAAAGAGCCAAGGGAGAAAAGATAGTTGGCATTCATTTGTCTCAACTCATGGTTGGTAGTTTCCTGGCCACCGCTCCTACTCTTCTAATTCCCAGAACTTTGCAAGACCCTCCCAGGAATATTACCGTGAGGTTTCTTAATATGCAATCTCGCCAACCAAGAGGGCCCCTTTCCTTGCTTTTCGTTCCCTGCAAAAGAGAATGGATAAATGCGTCCCTCGTTCTTTTTACCTTCTTTGCTTTAGAGCTCCCTCCAATAGGTGCCATGACGAAGTATTCCCGCTGGATGCACTTCTCGTCCGCCGCAGAGCCACAACTCTCCCTTAACCAAGCAGGGTGAGCACAACCCGCCAACCTCGTATTTTATAGGCTGGAGGCTGAGGTGGGCGGATTCGGAGGCCGGGGCGGATTGAGAGAGGCCTGGAGGTTCTTTGCGGTCATGGTACTCCCCTTTCTGAGCTCATCATCTATACCTCGACCGCGAGGCGAGGCCCCTCTCGCACGACTGAATAAAGCCGCTTGTTTTCAGACGCACATCCAGAATGTGTACTTAAGAAATAAGCAAAAACGGAAGGGCCGTTTTGGAGCAGCCGTTCCTAAATCTTAATATTTTTGGAACGCGTTGACCACAGCTCCCATCATTCGCAACTACCACCCCCCTCGTCTCCAGACGTCGTTACGGGGGCCTTGGGAATCCTACTCCAAACTTTCGGATGATACCAGATGGGGGGAAAAGGCGTAGTAAGGCATTTCTTCCACCGAGAGACTATGATGTAACGTGCTATGATTTCCACCACTGCCCAATACATAGACACGTGTGTGCATGTGCGAACGTTTTGGTGGAGATACCGCTAGGGGGTCTGTTTCTTCTGCTTAAGCAGCTCACACGTACTATTATCGGGATTTAAAACCAGTGCGCCTATTAGTAGATTTAGACTTAGACTAACTTTATTGTCACTTTGAATGTACACTTAATTTCTACACTAGTTAAAAAAAAACCTGAAGATTAGTAAATCTTGTTTGGCTGCAATGTTTTTCTCTAAACTTTCAGGGAAAGAAAAGTTAAATGATTTTTTTCTAATCCAGCCAGTAACTACTCATCGGGCTACGCATCGGGCAAGCCAATCGCGTAGGCATACCGTTATAAGTAAATATCAGACGATCCCAAGATTCCCGCTGCATTTCTGCTTCCCTTCTCCGGTCCCGAAGATAGCTCTATTTGCCACCCACCCACCCACATCCTACTGCAACCACTTGGACGGAGCCCCAGGAGTGTGGCGGGACGACACCATTCGGACCCTGTCTCCTCCCTCCAAGGAGGGCGGTTCCGGGCCCCTCCGCTTAGTCTGCCAACTAAGGGAACTCTAAGTTTACTCAATTGCTCGGTTTGAAACGGAGACCGGGGAGATCTTTGTGCCCGTGGCTATCCACTACTTGTACTAGCGCCTTCGAGGGGGAAGCTATGCTCCGGGGAACGCGGAGATTGCTGATCGCAAAACTGCGAGCTAAACAGCCCGCCTTTCCCGTGTCGTCTTCTCGAGATTTTGCTTGCACCACTCACAGGTGGTGAGTCCGGCTTCAGTTCTCCCTTCTATTGTTGGCGGGGTATTTTTGCGTCTCTTTTTTCAGACAGTACAAAGGCGAGGGTAGGCTACAAATACAGTTTTGGCCTCTCCATGGGCATTATAGTGAGCGGCTTGGTTTGCGCAGATATTTACCCCGCCCCACTCCTGTAGGCTGCCCATAGAGTGAGGCGATACACATCTCTTAAATCCCCCATTCCTAGGTATTCCAGGACATTAAAATAACTTAAATGTTACAATATTGACAAGACACAGGAAGGGGAGATTGCATGTGTGTTACTTTTGTCCAGAGTCTAGATAACAGCAAGCCCAATATTTATTTATTTGCATTTTAGTCTAGCCTTCCTCCAAAGATATTGGTCTTCTTTAATTTTCGAACAAAATGTCACTCAAGAGGCTTTGCGGCCAAGCACAAAGTTGAACTAAGCTGCCCCTGATCTATGACATGATTGCTCGCCCCATAATATGTTCATTTCATTACTAAAGCATGCCCGGTTGGATCATTAAAAAAAAAATTGTGACCAAACGTACCAGTCAAAGACACATTGCTGTTATTTCGCCTTTTATTTTTCAGTGGATTTTTGTTATGGTAGAAAAAATGGGAGCAGAAGAAAATATATGTTGGTGAGCTGCATGTGATGAAATCTAGCTATTCAGTGAAATGACAAAATAATTGCATAATGAATGATATAACTGGAAAGGTCCTTGAATTTTATCCCTGTGTTTGCACAGCACACTTAACTTGGTTACGGAATTACTGTACTGTAATCTATTTTCTTGGATTGCATAATATATTAAATTATAAGTTAACTATGATGTCTACTGAGTTGCTTAACAGGGTAAATAATAAAAAGAAGCAAAGTTAAAACATTAAACTCAGTACATTGTGTACATGCAAGCATTAAACTGTAACTGACCGTATTAAATGTTACAGAAATTCAATTGATAAACCTATTTCTGGCATATTTAACATGAAATGAACACAGTTCATCCATCTGATTGTAAACTACTCTGCAGCATTTTAGAATAACTCAACTGGCTTCTTGGATAATTACAGGTAGTTCTTGACTGTTGTGTTCATTCAGTGACCTTTCTAAGTTACAACGACACTGAAAAATGAGTTATGACCTTTTTTCACACTTAAGACTGTTGTAGCATCTCCATAGTCACAGGTTCAAAATTCAGATGCCTGCCAACTGGTTCAAACTTATAACAGTGGCAGTATCTCAGGGTCATGTGATCACCCTTTGTGACTTTTTGACAAGCAAGTCAGTGAAAAAACCAGATTCACTTAACTATGTTACTGATTTAACAACTGAAGTGACTCACTTAACAACTGTACCAAGAAAGATCATAAAATGGAGTAAAACTCTCTTAAATGTTTTGCTTAGCAACAGAAATTTTGGACTGAATTGTGGTCGTAAATTGAGGACTATCTGTATTTGGGTATGTTGGTGGAAACAAAATATTTCTCCTTCCTTTCTTATCTATAATTTATTTTTTGAATCCAACAGAGAATGGATGAGCCATTCCCATAGTTCCATTTGAGATGCCTCAAGATTAGGTTTTGCCTCTTGTGCGTGATTTGCCTTATAAAATTTTTTTTAATTGGAGACATATTATGTAGTCTATCATTTGTAACTTTTACATTTTTATACTTGTTCTCCTATTTTTCTTCTTATTACAGAGAAATCCATTAAAGAAGAATGATTAAACTGTACCTTGGAACCTTCTTTGGCATATTATAATTAGATACCACGTTGGCACAGTAAAAGATGTAGAAATGTCATTAAACAAACAAGGCACAGCATTAGTATTGAAGTTCTCAAGTTGCATGAACGTTCAATTGATTGGGAGTCATAGACTAGAATCACTATTGATATGCTATCTACCCATTTTGGAATCTCCACAAAAGGATACTGGCAAAAATGTCTGGTAGGCAGAAAGAGAGCAAAGATGGAACCCTGCCCCTTTTCAGCAACTCATAGTGTGTATCTAGTTATGCAGATGATTGCTTTAGACTGGCAAGATTCTGTCTGTAGCTAAACAACAAAGAAACTTAAGAAATAATTCCCCATGCCATTCTTAGTTCTTTGATCCTGATTTTTGATCTAAAACTGCCAGTTAGTGCTCATCATTTTCATCTGGGTAGCTCAAAATTCTATTAATGTCCAACAATGTAATTGTTGATAAAAGAGTATTTAAAGAACAGTTGATACTGTGTTTTACAGTATGTATAATTGCATAGAAAATATGCAGAAATTAGAAATATCCATCATTTTCCCCCCAGGGAACAAAAGCCATCTTCTGTGGAAGCAAAGTGGAAAGACACAGCAGAAACTGTAATTATTGGAGGTGGTTGTGTTGGTGTCAGTCTTGCCTATCATTTGACCAAGGCTGGCATGAAGGATGTACTTTTGTTGGAAAAATCTGAACTCACTGCTGGATCTACTTGGCATGCAGTAAGTGAAATTTCTAATGTTTTAAAAGTGGAACAAAACCTAAATTTTCTGTGCTTAGATCGCAATTCATTTTAGATGAGAAATGGACTTCTGTGAGCCATTTAAATTACTGTGCAATGCAGTGTAAAATGTCATCCAGCTGAAACTTATTAATTACTGATGCTTAATGCTAGTGTAAAAGACCCACTTGTCCATTTGCAGCTGTTCTGGCAACCAACTGATTGAAGGGACTGTTCCTGGATTACCACTGTAATATGAAACTCAGAGAGACAGAAACAGTGTTCAATAACTAACATTACTTATGTTTTGTGGGACATGATATTTTGGAAGCAGATGTACAGAGCTTCAACAGTAAGAAGCAAATATGCGTAGAGGTAAAAATGGTAATATCTACTGCTGCATTTAAATCAAGATACACCAATTTTGTTTTGTGAATTTTTAGGGTTGCAGTCTAAGGAGAAAAACATTCTGATGTAATGGCAAGAGAAAGGTTGCATTTACTGAAAAACAGTCTATTTATATTTTAGTTAGTACATAAGACATCTTGCTCTGGAACACGTAAGAGTTCCTGGCTCACCCAAGTGTTATCACTTGTTGTTTTCAGTAGTTTGCAGTCAGAGGGTAATCCTAGATGACCAGATCATATGTCATTTTATTATGCCAAGCTGGACACAACTAGAATGTACCATAATATCTAAGATGGAAAACATTTGTGGTCATCATATATGTTCATGTATATAGTAATCATGAATAACTTTATTTTCTAATAAGTTTTATAAGAAATATTTTTCTTCTAATCTGAGAAGAAAATCGCCTTTATAATAAAGTTTGTTTTGTTATTAGAAGCTAAAAAAAATTATATTCTCAGTCTGAAAATCTTGAAATACTAACTTTCCAAATTTTTGACTTACATGTGCAAGTACTATTGCTACATGGATTTAGGCATGTATTAAGATATACAGTTTAATCATTAAAAACCCTGTCTGAGTTATTTCTGCTGGGACTAAAATGGGATTAATGGTTTGATCTGTTTCCTTAGTACACCAGGATTTCTTGAATAATTCCGAAAAGAAGCTCATGGAATTTCCAAGAATTCTCTGACAATGTTTAGAATAATCTGAGCTCTAGAAAGCTTTTTACCACGTTTTGTATTTTGTTCAATCTCTTTTCCAAATTTACCCTGGCAGAGGGGAAGGCTGACAAAATTGGATGCCTTAGCCTTAGGTTCCAAAAGCGATCCTCTGGAAATACCTGGTAGTGTTGTATATCCTAGTATTTGGAAATAGCAGGACAGCATAAGCTGGAACTCACTTAATATGTACTCATAACATGAGAGGGTGATTGCATAATAAAAGATGCATCTGTCATTTTTTCCCTGTCTAATGCAGTATTCCATTCTCTAGCAGGAGCCAATCCTCTTAACTGGTGTAGCTAACTTTTTATATGCAAAATGATTTCTTGCAGCATAGCAAAGTTGGATTCATGCAGCTACAGGTGTAGAACACAGTGACTGAGTAAGCCATTGTCTCCCATTCACAAATCCTACTGAAAGACAGAATCAGTTTTTTAAAGCAGAGAATGAACCATATTGTTACCTAGTAGTATTAACTGTGACTATATGCTTAAACTGATTAATGCAGGATTTTTCACTCTTCTGTGAAACGTGCATCACAAAAGCATATAAAATATTAACTAGAATCATTGTTAAAAATCTATTTGTTAATGCTAATGATTTTAGATGTTTGTTTTAGTTTTGTTGTACACCGACTAGAGTCACTTACTCTTGATGGCTGATTCTATAAATTGGATAGGTAAATAAATAAAGTATGCTAAGTGAGGCTGAGAAATTGTGACATTTCCATAATTTGCTTTAAGGTTATTTTCCATAACCTTTAAGAAGGTGGCAGAATTCATATCAATAGCAGTAGTTCCGTGATGGCGAACTTATGGCACGTGTGCCAGAAGTGGCACGCAGAGCCATCTTTCTGGGCATGCAAGCCATCATCCATTGCTCTTCTGGGTTCCGGCGCACCAGCCAGCTAGTCTTCATGAGTGTGGGGGCTCCAGAAACAGAAAGGAAAGCTGCCCAGTGTGCATGCGTGCATCAGGAAGATGATCTTCAGGTGCTAGCTGGTCTTTGCGCACACATGCGTGCCAGAAACTGGAAGACTAGGTGGCTGGTGTGCATGTGCGTGCCAGAAACTAGAAGATCATCTTCCCAGCATGTGCATGCGCACCGCGCGGCTGCTCTTCTGGTTTCCAGCATGCATACACTACTGTTTCAGCACTCAGTGCCGAAAAGGTTTACCAAAATTGCTATACTTGTTAGAAACTATATGGTTCTTTCCTCATGCTATTAATTTTTAGATGCTAATTGTTCTAGGATTTTTTCACAATTGTTATTTTTTTAAAAAGCTATTATGTTGTATGCTGCTTTTTAAAAATCTGGAGCATGAATTTTGATTGATTGATCTGACTGACAACCTTATCTTTCAGTGAATGGTTAAGATGCCAGGCTAGAAACCAGGACACTTACTAGTCCCGCTTTAGTCATGAAAAGACAGCTGGGTGACTTTAGGCCAGTCACTCTCTCACCCCAACTCACCATACTGAGGTGCTGTTGTGGAGAAAATAGAAGAGGAAGGAATGTTAATTATTTTTCCACCTTGAATTATTTATAAAAATAGTGAAGGTGGGATTGTAAAGAAAACCTGTTGTATCGTCACCAATCCTGCTTCTACACCATTAATATTGTATTAAAGGGCAGTGCCAATTTTCCAACCAGTAGTTGAAACTGTTCCCCTTGAAGACTATCTAAGGTGCTCTCACCAAGAAGTCTGATTAATAAATTATATTTTCTGTTCTGGTCATCAACATTGTTTATCGAGGCACTGTGCCCCATGTTATCATTCACTAACACTAACAAACCACAGATTTGGTCTGGCTGGAGTCTGTAATATTACAATTGTCAGTATTAAATAAACAGTTCTTTGGCTAAGTCTTTGGTTAGAAATGTGAGGTGCTTGAAAAATGGTATCTGAAGGCTAAATAAGAGCTTTGCAAAATTACAGAAGCTATTCCTGAATATAATTTGAAAGTCATCGCACAAACGTTTTTGCAGATATTATATTAGATCCAGAACTTGTCACTGTTCATGAATCATAAACTACTTTTTTTGTAATAGAGTCATCTTCATAACCACAACTGACCACCTAGTTCTTACCTGAAATGGTTTATTACAATCTGGAGGTCATAAGGCTGTATTTCTCAATGCCCACAATTTTAGAAATTGTAGAATTTTTGGTTCCCATTCCCAACCAACTGTCTTTTTTAACAGTAAAAATAAAGGCCCTGTCTTATAAAAGTAACATTTGGAATATGTTGTTTAGTGAAATTGAAAGCCCCAATAATTGTTTTTATTTCCTTAAAATTTCTTGGTGGCGCTCTTTCCACTAAGACAGGAACTTTGTCTACCTCAGGGGCCCTCCCCTGTCCATCACTTTGAATCTTGTATTCCTTACCAAAATTAAGACTGAAGGTTCATTCCTTCAAATATTCTTCCTCAAATCTCCCTACGGTCAGAGTATACACCTTTGAGAAAGCATTATTCCCATCAGATGTTGGCAATCAGGCCAACATTTATGTCACATAATAATGGACTATCTCTAGGCTATTTTGAAACTCTTAAAGTTTTAACCACTCATGTAGGAACCTGAACACCCCCCCCCCTCAAATTAGGTTTGACCCTCTAGAGTCAATGGCAAAATAAAGAGTCATTTAGCCAAATCAATCACACTAAACCATTTAATTTTCACTCCTACTTTGCTTTGGAGTTCAGGGGTGCTGGCTGCAGTTGGAGGTATCTCTGATATCTGTATTAATATACAATCATTCTACAAATTTTCCCATTTGATTCTAAAACAGCCCAGATCGGACCATTGAAGGGATTAACAGTCCTCTTAATTACCTTTTCTAAGTTTTGTACAATTTGCCCATTGCACTATAATTTTGCAGATCACTATTGACCTCAAGATAGTTAAATAGGCAATTTCCAAAAGTGATTAGAATAGTGAGGCTAACAAATCCAGTATCCTTAAGAAGGCTCCATCCTGGTGGGAAGCATGATAACTTTTCTTTATTTTCTGGGACTCAAATCCATTGGAAATTGCCATCCTAAGGTCTCCTTATGAAGAACAGCCATTTAGAGTACAAATGGGCAATCTCCTGGCCTCTCCAGATCCAGAGAATAGCATGATGTTGGCTCCATTCATTTGGAGATGTGCTAGTTTCCATTCCTCATCCAGAAGTCTGAAGTCAAACATAATTTTGAACATAGGAACATTTTGAATATTGAATGTATTATACTATCTGAAAGTGTGGTAACACGAATGATAAAAAGGATGAATTTTCATAATTTAAGAATTATGAAAAAGCGTATGACATGAAGGAGAGAATAAGGACAAAAAACAAATGTAAAAGAAAATAATTATGAACATGAGGATAAGAGAAAAAACTATACAGTATGTATGAAGAAAAAAGATATTACAGAGTGTTTACTCAAAGACTTGAGAACAAATGTGATAGAAATTAAAAATAGCTTTGAAGTGGTAAAGGGAGTTCATTAAAGAATCTGCAGCAAAGTAAATGAAATTAAAAATAAAATTTAGGAATTCATTTGAATAAACTGAAGTGAGGGAATGTTGGAAAAAATATATTAGAGATTTTAATGGGAATGGGAATGATATATTGAACACAAAAACTGAAGCAAAACTTTAAATGTTATTATCCAAGAAAAAGTTAATGGAAATGAAATGATAAATGCTGTGAAAATCTTTTTGTTGGTCTTTTTTAAAGGCAGGTTTGACAACATATTTCCATCCTGGAATAAATCTAAAGAAAATCCATCATTACAGCATCAAGCTTTATGAAAAGTTAGAGGAGGAGACAGGGCAGGTAATAATACCTAATTTACCACAAGTTAAATAATAATATGTGATATACACAATTTTAGAATGATTTGATTGGCTGGAACTGTTTAACTGTTTAACAGTATATGAGAACAGCATTTTTGGATTAATGAAACAAATATTAAGCAAATACATTATTAATATATAGTTTTGTATGTTTGTATACTGTATAACTAATATGTTTTAATGCCTCAAAGGTAACTGCAGATATTAATCATTTTATTATATCCTGGCATCCTTATTTATCTACGGTGTCTCTGGAAATTATATTACATGTGAATTCATGTTGAACCCTTTTATCTGTGGCACACATTAATTAATAACTTTAAAAATGTGAAAGTACTGCATATTAAATTGTTCACATCTGTGAGGGAGAACAAATAAATACAATGAAAATGCTTAATGGCAAAGTTTAGGATGATGCAATAACCACATCTGTGAAGCAAAATGGAAGACCAGATGATCTTTGACATCAAAAGGGTCATTCTGCTAATGTCTACATTGTATCCGTTATGGAAATCAGGGATAATATATTTTTTATTCTATATATTTTTTAATCATGCTCAATACATTTGATGGGAAAATGCTTTCAATTTTTCTCCACAAAGGATGGAAGATTTTGGTGTAATTCTCCTGAATGGGATGACACTTTATTACTTCAGCACAATCATCTTTCTAGTAGTCTTCAGATTCCCCATACTTCAGTTAAACTCCACTGAATTTATTATGTGGGAGTATTTTCCATAGGGTTTTTTCAGATTCATTAGTTATGGGGAAACGATTATGGAATCTATGTTTAGTATATAGTATATTATATTAGTATATAGTATAAATATATATTTACTATGCTTAGTAAAAAAAAAATCCTGACAACACATCTGCCAACTGGCAATCATAAAATAAGTTTGGAAATATTATCCAAAGAAGTTCTAAAGCATCATGAATATAAAAATGTGATTAAAAAAAAACCTTGGAAGCCTCTTTCAGAAACATTTTGAGCAAGAAGTCAAACCCAGTGGAAATGTTTTTTTTTAAAAAATCAAATGGAAAAATACATTCCCATAGTTCATAATAAGACTGCTCAGATGTAGGACATATTAAAATATAAACTATATAGTTTTTCTAGTTTTTCTTTTCTAATATTAGTAACTTATTTAATTTGATGAGGACGAACCAAGTTCAAGATCTATTTTATCGTAATTATTTTGAACTTTAGTGAATTATGCATAAGGGCTCATGAATGTTTGATTTTGGAAGCTGATGGGTTGTTATTGTTTTGTTTTGTTTCTCTCAGGCTGTGGGGTTTCATTGCCCAGGGAGTGTTAGAATTGCGTCAACACCAACAAGAGTGGATGAACTTAAATACCAAATGACTCGAGCAGGATGGCACCCCACAGAACAATACCTTATTGATCCAGAAAAAGTGCAAGAATTATTTCCGTTATTAAACATGGAAAAGGTATATGAATACAATTTATTTATTTACAATATCTGTAAAAATGTTGAAGAATCGCAAAGGAACATGTCTTAGATGTAAAATTATTTTTAAATGTCTTAATCAGCAGAGTTTTCACTGTTTTGCCAACAATGAAAAGAATGGGCACTAAAAAATACACACTTTTCAGGACTGCTATCTTATGATTTATCACTTGTTTGTATCTTATTATGATTGTATCTTATGATTTATGATCTATGACATATCACTTTGTTATTTGTATGTACACTAAGAGCTTATGCACCAGAGACAGTGGTGGGATTCAGCCAGTTCGCACCACTTTGGGAGAACCGGTTATTAAGTTTCTGAGCAGTTTGGTGAACTGGTTGTTGGAAGAAATCATTAGGGCAGAGAACAGGTTGTTAAATTATTTGAATCCCACCACTGACCGAAGACAAATTCCATATATGTCCAATTACATTTGGCCAATAAAGAATTGTATTCTATTCAAAAGAATAAATGAACTATAATGAGATAGGCAAGAATAGGATCAGTCTTAATAAAACAAATGGATATTTGAAAAAAAGAAATGAACAACAATAAGGCAAGAATAAGATCAGTCTTAATAAAGCAATTTGAAGGCATTGTTTCAAGGAACCAATTTAAAATATACATACTTTTTCTGCTTCCAAAATTGAGCTCATTGTATCTGCACAAGGGTGTAAGCCCTGAGAAATCTCCAATACTTGTTAGCAAATTGTGGGTATTTGAGAAAGGGAATATTATTAGATACGTGACTGGAAAATATTTGTATTAACTGTAATCAATTTTAATTAATTTAAATACAAGTAAAATCTAATTTAATTTTATCCTCTCAGTTGTTTAGAATATGGCTGTGCATTTCTTGGATCTGACTTATTTAAACTATTGAGTTTAGCCTGGAGTGGGAGGAGATCATGTCATCTTGTAAGCTACGTGTACAAATATATTAATTTATTCCGTAGCCTATGCTAGTGCAGAGGCAGAAAGAAGTATTAAATACTAGTGTTTATAGAACTTGGAAATACAGTGAAGGTCAACTTTTGTTTGCAATCTATTGTTTATGACATGTCTGATAAGTAAAACAAAGGCTATGAAGTAGAATAAGACAGATAAAAGTGAACAATTCCTGATTTAATCTTAAAACAAACTAACATGAAGTATTTGGGGTTTTTTATTCCATATAGAAAGATTTTGAATTTCTAGAATCTATATATTGCTACTAAGTTTTGTATTCACATCTTCCTACTATCTACTGACTGTGGAACCAGAGACAAAAAATAAAACTAATATAAGTAACGTAAATTAATTCTGTTTGATACAGGTTTTAGCTGGTCTGTACAATCCTGGAGATGGTCATATAGATCCTTATTCTCTTACTATGGCCTTGGCTGCAGGAGCCAGGAAATATGGAGCTCAGTTAAATTATCCAGTTCAAGTAACTAATTTAAAATGTAGACTAGATGGAACATGGGAAGTTGAAACTCCACATGGAACAATTAAAGCAAACAGAATTGTGAATACAGCTGGTAAGTGATGAAGTATGCTTTCCTGCTTTTATAGTTTATCACGATAAAAAATTCCATCTGTGCAGGGAAATGTAACTTACATATTAGAGAATGTTTTAGGAAATAGATTACAAAATAAAATAATAATTTGCTTTTCACTTCATATTTCATGATCTCATGGATTTTTTTTGCTCTGTAGTTTATAAAAAGATTACATTATTCATCTTTTAAGGTTAAATGATAACAGTAATAAAGAATCTAAATTATTTTCCCCCCAGCTACATTACATAAATCAGTGGGTCTAAGTTGCGCACCAATATATAGGATAAATACAATGCCAGATTTCCAAAGTATAGATGTAACTGAAGGCTCATCCACAAAGACATTTTTTCTGTACTTTTCTCCTATCAGCTAGGAGGAACTAGATGACAGGAAAAAACAGATTTGCATGATTGTTCAGTACTATAGGTACTGTGATAACATCCAACAGCACACACTTGGTGCTTGAGGGTATATGAGACATGTTATTATGCTGTGGAGTGCTCTTGGCTACAAAATGTTAGCAAAATGATTATCAACCAGTTGATCTAATAACCATTAGCTGGCAACAAAATTGTTTAGTATTTCTTGGATGTTATCAAAGGGTCTGCTGGAACCATACAAATGAGATGCAGACAATGGATAGGCGTTTTTGAGGAGCTGGTGTGTGAGAAATGATTTTGTTACACATGTGTAGGTTGAAATGCCAATTTATCTATCAAAAAAGAACAGTGGCTCGTGTGGTTAGGACACTGGGCTGAAAATCAGCAGGCTCGGGTGGAGAGCCGGTTGCTGCCACATGGTGAGGTGAGCTCCCGTCACTCACTCCAGCTCCTGCCAACCCTGCAATTTGAAAGCAGGTGACCACAAGTAGATATATGTGTATCACTTTGGGGGGCAACTAAACAAGGACATGAAAGGAGCCCCCAGCTGGGTATCCCCCAGTCAATGATGATGGCTAATCCTTCCAATCTGGAAGTGATTCGGGACTTCCAACATGGATGTAGTATCCATCAAAAAGTAGCCTTTAAAGCATCTCCAGAAGTCAGGATTCTGCTCAAACAGTGATAAAATTTTAAAAAGTCCCCTTGATCACTTTATACCTTCATAAAACCCTCTGGACCATCTGCTCCATAGCCTGAGATAAAAGGTACTAGTATTCAAGAGCAGGAACATATTTTCAGTAATTGTCTTTGGATTTCATAGCAATTTTGGTAATTACATAGCAGACTTGCTACATTGCCCTACATTGTCTGTAGAGTGATCCTTGCAGTAAGAAAAATGGCATCACAATAACCATTTCCCTGGCATACGTGCCTTCTCTGCATGTACAATCCTTGGCAAAGAATGTGGCAAGTTGGGAACAGGTTGTCTTATCCTTTGGATCAGTTCATGAGAACTGGCACCAAATTAGAGAACTGGCACCAAACTCTCAATTACTGTATATATCATTTTCTTTCCAAGTGGGAAAGAACTTAGGGTTGAGACCCCTGTGTGTGGTAAAGGTCCTTTTTATTTATTAATGTTAAACTTAATAGTGGCAGTGATTTAAAAAAATGGTATTCCATAACATGAGAATTTTCCCTATTTGATTTGTAATGCCATTTAATCTTTATGCAACTTGAAGCAGTGTACAGAACAGTTGAAAACACAATGTAATAATAAAAGCACAGAAACAACAAAGAGCAGCGCATAGAATAACCCCCCAAATTACATTTGTATTTGTATTAATGAGTTCCCATATGCCGCTGGCCCAGCCAGGCCTTCGTGACTTTCTTGAAGGGCAACAGGCTCACAGCTGTACAAACTTCGAGGGGAGTGATATCCCAGGTGAAGAAATTTTGACTTGGCTTTGGGAATAGGGTACAAATGAGCAAACCATTAAGAAAGTACTTTGAGAAAATAGTATTTAGTCCTGGGAAAAAAGGAAACTGAAAAAAGACTTAAAACAACCTTGATTTTGTTTGTTATATGATGAGGCGAAGAGAATTCTGACGGACTTTCAAGATTCTTTGACTATACCCTTCAAGAGTGTTTCTCAACCTCATGCTGGCTGGGGAATTCTGGAAGTTGAAGTTCACACATCTTATAATTGCTGAGGTTGAGAAACACTGGCTGGGGAATTCTGGAAGTTGAAGTTCACACATTTTATAATTGCTGAGGTTGAGAAACAGTGCCCTACAACAATAATGGGGAATTCCTTTGTTCTCTGTTTCTTTGTCTGGCTTACCTCTCAGGACTGACAGAAAATATGTGGGAAAGGAATGGCAAAATAAGGAGACTAGAAACAAGAAAACAAACCTTAAAGCATTGGGTCTCAACCTTCCTAATGCCACGACCCTTTAATACAGTTCTTCATGTTGTGGTAACCCCCAACCATAAAATTATTTTATGTTTTCTGTATTTTTTTGAAAATATGTGTTTTCTGATGGTCATTTGACCCCCAAAGGGGTTCCGACTCACAGGTTGAGAACCACTGCCTTAAAGGAAAAGGCAGACATTGGTAGATCAGTCTATGCAGATTTTAAGTTAATAACTGAAGTATGCCTGGATTCAATGTTTAGCCAAAAGAACCCTTGGAACTAATGCAGTATTGATTACTGCCTTGGGGAGGCTCTAGGTAAACAAAACTACAACTGTTGGAGCCAATCTTCTTTCTTTGTTCTATATCCTCCTCTTGAAAACAAATAATTTGCTCTGCGTTTTCATGCCAGGCTTAGTGTGGTAAGTTCGGAGTGGATTTTGTAGAGAACAGCTTACCTTCAGGTCTCATTCATTTGCTCAATTTCAGAGCATACATTACACAATTTCCAAAGCATAATTCAGACTGTTCAGCAGTTTCCCTAGCTGCTGCTTCATGGTTAGTTACATCATTACTTCTATTGCTGTCGCAACCTTTATGGAATCCAATGGCCTTTTTAAATTTGACAAGCAAAAAACACAGTAAATATTTCTCACAAATATTTTTCCTCTTCCACTTTGCAGTTTGGTATTTAATTTGAACATAGTGGTAAATTCTTGGTAATAAAATGGCAGGTGGGAAGGCTCGTTTCCACATATGAAGGAAGGGGGGTTAGAAGGAATGAGAAGGTTAACCTTTGTTTTGTTTCCAATCTCCGTTTCATGACTTGATCTTCATAAAAAGTAGCTTTGGAATTGAAGCCTTATGTGTTAAAACAAAATTGTCTGTTTAAGTACAAGTATGCAAAAAGTTTCAAGATTAATCCAAGATGTTTAATGGCTTCAAATATCTGGGTGTTGTATTAAGATTTAGGTAGAAAGGTTCCAGCTGAAAATATACAATAAGTAGCATAGAGATGCATGGTAGCTTTTTCTTTTTTTGTCTTTCTGTCTCTTTCTTTCTTTCTTTCTTTCTTTCTTTCTTTCTTTCTTTCTTTTTTTTTTTTTCTTTCTTTCTCTCTCTCTCTCTCTCTCTCTCTCTCTCTCTCTCTCTCTCTTAAAAGAAGGTAATTTTGTATCTACGATTTGAACCTAGATGGTTGGCTAAACTTCTATACACAATTCAATTTGGACTATACCTCAATTACAGGTAGTCTCCAACTTACAATTATTTGTTTAGTGACTGACCATTTGAAGTTACAAGGGTACGGAAAAAAGAAACTTATGACTGTTGCAACATTCCCATAGTCATGTGATCAAAATCCAGATGCTTGGCAACTGATTCATATTTATGACAGTTGCATTGTCCTGGGAGTATGTGACCATCTTCTGCGATATTCTGACAAGCAAAGTAAATGGGCAAGCCAGATTCACTTTACAACCGTGTTACTAACTTAACAGTTGCAGTGATTCACCTAACAACTATTGCCAGAAAAGTCATAAAATGGGGCATAACTTATTTAACAACTGTCTGGGGCATAACTCATTTAACAACTGTCTTGCTTAACAACAGAAAAATTGGGCTCAATTGTGGTTGCAAGTAGAAGACTACCTGTATTCCCCTCTAGAAATAGCGCAGTCTAACTTCAGATTCCTACGTGTGCTTCATGTCTAGAAGATCATCTGTCTTGAGTTGGAAGCTTGTGCTTGTCTGGTGATCTTTAATCTCTGACTAAAGTTTAACTTTTGTACTGCCAGTCTGATTCACATAATTCATGATAAATTTCATTTAGCCTGGAACATGACCTTATTGAAAAAACTGCAATCCTATGGCTTTTCCGCAAGGTTTATGCTGTCTGTGAACTACAATCAACAAAGGTACTTTTAAAATAGCAAGCTCTGGACTTTGAACTACAAAATGAATTTGAGTTTGCAGCTGGCTAAATATATTGGAACTGCCCAACCATTGTGGATACCTAACTCTGATTCACTTCATCCTCTTCCTCCTGGCTCCCTTAAAAGGCAGATTTGCTAAGATTCCTTACCAGGAAACCAAATGTTGCTCAGGGTTAGTCAGAACAATTGGGTACATCTTGCTTCACTGTGAGTTTTACAGATACCTTCTTAAGTAAGTTTATATGACCTTTATAGGAAGACTTTCCAGATCATCCAGCTAAATTTTATACAGTGCATATACAGCTGTTCATAGCAAAGGAACATCGGGAAACCTGGAATGGGGACATTATTTGTTTACTTTGTTTCTTGTATTTATATACCATTATAAAATTAGGTTAAAATGGACGTGGTGGCTCAGTGGCTAAGACGTTGAACTTGTCGAGCAGAAAGGTGGACAGTTCAGCTGTTCGAATTCCTATCACAGCATAATGGAGTGAGTTTCCATTACTTGTCCCAGCTTCTGCCAACCTAGCAGTTTGAAAGCACGTAAAAAATGCAAGTAGAAAAATAGGAACCACCTTTGGTGGGAAGGTAACAGCACTCCATGTGCCTTTGGCATTTAGTCATGCTGGCCACATGACCATGGAGACGTCTTCGGACAGAGCTGGCTCTTCGGCTTAGAAACGAAGATGACCACCGCCCCCTAGAGCCGGAAATGACTAGCATGCATGTGCGGGGGAAACTTTACTTTTTATAAATTAGGTTACAACTAACAGATTACACTCATTCAGTGTAAACATATAAAACACATTAATGGTATTAGCTGGATACATTACAAAGAAACAAACACAACACAATAAAATAAAATACAAAAGAAAGAAAAATAACAACTAAAAAAATAAAAGTGGCAGCTTTTCCTTAGTCTTCAAATGCACTCCAGAACATTTCTGGACTTTCCCCAGCTTTTAAAAGGCTACTACCAGGGATGCTAACCTGGCCTCAGGAGGAAGCTATTCCAAAATACAGGGTCTGTAGTCAAAAAGCATTATTGGGTCTCTCTGCTCACTTGATAGAGCTAGGTTGGTATGGAAACCTGGAAGGATCTGTCTATCTGTCTGTCTTTCTATCATCTAATCTATCTATCTATCTATCTATCTATCTATCTATCTATCTATCTATCTATCTATCTATCTATCTATCTATCTATCTATCTATCTTGTGATGCCTCTAACGTTTTCTTCTATAATATTTATAGAAATTAATGCGGGCTGATTAAATTGATGGCAGAAACAGCTGCCCAATTGTATTTCCTGCATTTGGGAAAAGATAGTTGAACACACTTTCCATAGTTCTAACTTATGCATCCACAGATTTATGACATAGTAGTCCCATTCTCAGACAAACAGGATTCTGGATAAAAACTGGTTCAGTCAAGACTGACAGCTGACTCGCTATTTCCATATACTGAAATACATATTTGTAAATGCAAAAATTGGAATTTTTGTCTTTTTAGAGAGGAGATGCATTATTGACTGTTTTTAAATATCACACATGTAAATAAAATTAATATTTTTTCTATTATGATTTTCTATTTTTTTTAATTCTACCATTTTATAATTCCTCAGGATATTAATGTGTTTTAATGAAATCTTTGCCCTGCTCTTATTACTGTTTAATAATAATAAAAAAAAACAAGCAATATATTGAACAGAAAGCTTCAGGTGTTTGCTTATAAACCAGGAGTCTATGAGTGCTAGTTGCTACTTAGGCATGAAAGCTGGTTGGGTGACCTTGGGACAGTCACTTTCTCTCAGACCAACTCCCCTCACAGGGTTGTTGTATGGGGAAAAGAGGAGAAAGAAAGAGTATTGTGTGTGCTCACTGCCTTGAGTTTTTTTATAGTAAATAATAAAGGCAGGATATAAAAACTGTCCATACCTAAATAAACCTTAAGTTATCCTGTGTATCTTTGGGCTTTCCTTCCTTTGACTTTTTAAAATATTAGTTGGATACATTATAATAGACAGCTGCAACCCAGGCATAAGTGGTTTCCTTGAACCACTGTCATATTTAAAAACATTAAATTTTACTTTTTAAATATTGTACTTAGAAAGAAGATTGTGCTATTTGTTGGCCAGGATCATGTCATTCTAATATTTATATTTCTGTACCTTGTGCTTTTAGGTTTCTGGGCTCAAGAAATAGGTAGAATGATTGGACTACATCATCCACTTATACCTGTTCATCACCAATATATTGTTACTGGAACTATCCCAGAAGTGAAAGTCTTGAAGAAGGAATTGGCTGTTCTTCGTGACTTGGATGGTTCATATTATCTAAGACAAGAAAGAGATGGCCTTTTATTAGGGCCATATGAAAGTCAGGAAAAAATGAAACTGCAGAAATCTTGGGTAGAAGATGGAGTCCCACCAGGTAATTTTTCATGGGAAAAATAAACTTCAGTGATACATGCCTGGTGCTCAGACTTAATTAATTGTAATTTTACATCACACATACATATCTATATGGAGAACGGTTGCAGGAACTGGGTATGTCTAGTTTAATGAAAAGAAGGACTAGGGAAGACATGATGGCAATATCTCAGGGGTTGCCATAAAGAAGAGGGAGTCAAACTATTCTCCCAAGTATCTGAGGGTAGCAAGAAGCAATGGGTGGAAACTAATCAAGGAGAGAAGCAACTTAGAACTGAGGAGAAATTTCCTGACAGAACAATTAATGTGGAATAACATGCCTCCAGCAGTTGTGAATGCTCCAACACTGGAAGTTTTTAAGAAGATGTTGGATAACCATTTGTTTGAAAGTGTATAGAGTTTCCTGCCTAGGCAGGGGGTTGGACTAGAAGACCTCCAAGGTCCCTTCCAACTCTGTTTTTCTATTCTATTCTATCTATGAAGTCAGAAAGACTTTTTGGCAATATTGCTTATGAATGTATGCTAGTCATTGCTTCTTTGTTGTACTCTTCCAAATTTATATTTATATCCAAATTTATATTTTTTGCTTACACGTTCAATATTATAACATTGGAGACTTATTGAGAACAGGAACATTTGCTTGCTTTGTATAACATAGAAAATGTATTAAAGTGGGAAGACAATACATACAAAATGTATCAAACTTTTTTTAAAGGCTTTGGAAAGGAGCTTTTTGAATCTGATTTAGATCGAATAAGTGATCATGTCGAGGCGGCTATGGAAATGGTCCCTGTCCTGAGAGAAGCAGATATTATCAATGTAGTTGCAGGTCCTATAACATATTCTCCAGATATTCTGCCAATGGTGGGACCACATCAGAGCGTTCATAATTACTGGGTGGCCATTGGTTTTGGGTAAGTAAGCTGATTCTTTAAGGTTTGGAGGTATCAGTCATTACTGAAAAAAGTTTGCTAAATTACTTTAATCTTTACTGCAAAAATAAAATAGAAATAAAATATAAACCATGGGTACCTGTGCCTGATTTTCCTTTTTCAGAAAAGGAAATTGAAGACTTGCTGCAGGTAATGATAACAAATTTTAAAAATCAAAAACCATGAAATTGAGATAGTATTCACTGAGAGTTATTAAAGATCTCTGGTGTGATATTTACTAAAAAAATATGCAATTTATCTATAATATCAGGGGACTTTATTGTTGTTTTAACCTGTTGAAAGAAATGTCCTTCTGGGTTCGGCTCCAAGTGGGGAAAAAGACACTGGAGACATGGAGGCTGCTTGGAAAGATGGTTTTAAT